CGCGCAATTTTGACAGTGAACCAGCTGATCGGTTGGCCAATCTGCCCGAGTGGAACGGAGTAAGTGATCAACCGGGAGAGTTTATGGGCACCAGTCTGACACGGCAAAAGCTCCTACAAGATGCCATGGATGTGCACTTGCGTGCTGAACTAATCCGTCAACAGACTGAGGCACGTCGCATGCGAGATATCTGTGATCGTGGTATCGAGGTTATGTTCGATCAAATGGAAGCGGTAAGCAGGAGTACTGTGATTTTGGTTTTCTCGTAGAATGAAATGTTGTCACAACTAGGCAGTTTGTTGATTCCAATAAAATTTGTGCTCATCAAAGCTCACGTGCATAAAGGAACAAACGGCACAAAGTTACACTGTTTGACGAATGTGTTACGTTTGTCTCGATACCTGATATTTATCCGGACAGATGAGCTCAAAATAAATTCAGTGCAGATCAGATCATAGCTCGGATATGGTAGTGGCAGTGGTGAACATTCAAATGTAATGGAACTGTTTGTGATAACCAGCAAAGTGCACCGATCTGCTGTTTCATCCTGTTTGGAACTCGTCAGCAATGTGTCCCTTGTGTCCCTGTCAGGACTCGAACCGCGAACCTTCGGGTTGAGACTTCCATCGCATTTGAATGCATTATCTCGTGGGAAATTGATCTCCCAAGGAGTAAAACCCACACCGAAGACCATCAAGAGTACCTGGTGCCTCTGAACAATCGAATGGGCTAATCCAAGCTCGATATGCTAGATTAGTAGTGAACACTTTGTTAATGAACTCGGTTGTTCAGTTCATATTGTGCTATCACATGGGCCTGTTCGGGATCTACTCAATCAAGGCTTGGAGCCAATAGGTGGTTTTGGTTCACTGTCATAACCCACTGAGCTATTTACTTATATGACCTCGACATTTTCTACACTGCCTGGACGTTTCTGTTGGCAGATTTTCCTCCGAGTGTTTCACCCCTATTCTATTCTTCAAGCTTGGTGGTGGTGGCGTAGTGATTTAGCCGCTGTCACCGGCGTGCATTTAATCCTGCGTTTCGAGGTTCGAGCTTCGCCATCACCACCCAAATTAAGTTGTAGACAACTTTTCTGTCACCCGGTCCATGTCACGCCTGATCTAGCAGAGCCTTCTGCGAATCGCTACTCCAAGTCCCGGGGCCTAAGTTGCCGGTTACCATCACTGAACAGTAGGTCGTCGTGACTATGGGGTCCGTCCAGTCTGCTGTTCATCACACTCTGCTGTGTAATAAAAAAATGGATCGGTAGCTCAGTGACTTGTTCCATCAAAGCTTTAACTTTTCGGTAATCTCGAAAGCAGCCGTTTGTGAAATATTCTCAAATATTGCATATCCCAATCTGTACAGTACCTCTGTAGTTGTGAATTTCGGATTGAGTCCATTACTATGTTGACCAAGACTCTTTACTCGAAATATTCTAGCGTTGCACGTACATCCACTCGAGCTTTGAGTTGTGCTCCAGTGTGTGTGCATATCATAGATGGGTGATTAGCAAAAACATGAATTTAGCTGAACCACATTGTTTACTGAGCAGCTTACAATGGGTTTATTGCTTGTCAAGCAAGTCAACCATTACCACCACTTTATGGTACGGCTAGGGACCTTTGTGGACACGTATTACTTCTCACAATTCGTGTGTGTTAGCTGTTGTGGTGTAAACCCCGTTGCATTCTGCGGTCCATATTTTCTACACAAAATCCAGTACAAGAAGCCACCTTTAATTAATGTCGTTCTCAAAAAAACACCTAATGCTGGTGTGTTTGTTCTACCACAAAATGATCGAAGTTTCCGTCTACGATGTATCTGTGTCGACCGATGCGAGCTGAAGTTCCTTTGATGCGGTACATGAATGAGCCAGTTTACGTCTTTCTCTCGAAATTCCTTTTTCTTCACGAAAAACGTGGATGTGGCGTGAACCTTCAGCCAGCCCACTATCGGTTAATTTTACTGTAGTCACTGTGTTGAGTGAAACTCGATTATGTGTGTTTCGTACATGTTCTACATTCATTAGCGCCTAGACGCGGCATCCAAGCTAGCTGCGAGTCGACGCAGTCGGGTTCTTCTGTCCCAAGCAGTCGCCGAGTTGGCTCGAGCTACTGCACTGTCCTCAACTCTACAACTGGCTGAGGGACTAATTGCATTCAATCAGACTGCAGAATGGGCCATGCATCGGCTCAAATCGGATCTTGTTGACACGGAACGTGCTTTGGGCAACTCCGATTGGCTGACGGGTACGTGTACTGCATATCAACTAAATTGTAGGTCACTGGGTATGCACATTTTGGTGCATTTGAAACCATTCAAAGTTTTGAATTCGTTTGAATAATTGGTCTTCTTTTGGCTATTGTGAGTCAGAAGTACAAATGTCCTGATCCTTTTTTTCTGCAAGCCTTGTCATTTTGAATATTGTATGCTCTGGAGTAGTAATAGGGCACTGCAAACGTGTTCATCTTGTCTGTCAGTCAGAATGAGGGTGTTGTATTTCTTGGGTGATTTCGTAACGTTTCGATGACACGGTCCCTTTAGCAATGGACCGCTACCTAAGCACAACATGGTAGCCAACACGGTTTTCTTAAGCAGTATTCGTCGGTAGTTTTCAGCGTTTTCTCTTGCAATAGGTCAACAATGCAAACCATTAATTAAACACAACAAAATGCAGTGATTTAGTGCTGAGATAAGCGAGGTGCGATGCAAATAGTTTGTAAAGATGGATTGTGCTATATCTTGTAAATAGAACCTGAAAAACGTTCTGATCAGCTGCCCTGTGCTCGAATGTGTTCTGTTTGTAAGGTTGATGGATTCATACTGCTGATGTGACCCGATCAGGTTGAAACAGTTTTTCAGCTGACTTCTCATATAGGCAACGAATTCATCATATAAACGTGGAATATACATATACATATAATATATATATATATATATAATATTATAACATAAACAATCACAGCGGATGAGTGGATTGGGATATAGGACACAGTGAAAGGAAGGTAAAACAGTTAAAATGGAGGTTAGTGTACAAATGGAATCACATGAAATTGTAGGAAAAAAATTGACCTTGGAGGTATATATATATCCGGGTTTTAAGTGGGATTCAAATGTTTCTCAACCAAATTTCCCCGATAATAATCTGTAATAGTGCCAAGCCACGCTTAAATTACACAGGCTATATCATGACCAGAAGACTAATCCGGAACCCTATGATGAGCGTACCAACCCCTTTCGGTTTTTCGCAGTGCACACTTTCGTATTATCGTGAAAGTAAATTCGAGACTTAGAGTCTGTGCTGATGTTCTTTCGTTCGTGTGATCTTCTAGTTCTGAACCTTGGACAGTGCGAAACCCGTCCCCGCAAACTGTGGGAATTCGCTGTAGGACAGAAGTGGACAGAGCTCCTCGTGTTCCTGGTAATGATCTAATGACTGTTTTTAACTAGCCAATCCACAGCCCGCGTCTTGCAATTCCACTCACACCTATCGCGTGTACTTATTCGTGATCACTCCTACTCCCACTGAACTCTGCTTTGCTTAACTTGAAGGTGACCGCTTACTATGAGATTGCATTGTATCGATGTTGCGGTTCTATACGCTAGTCGACTGATCGTCCAAAGGGATCGTTAGAGTCATTCCAGTTTGTGTTCGAGCGAAGTTATTCGTCCTGGACGTTCTGGATGGTGCGGACTCGGTACGGATCTGGCAATCAGATAGACCATATGTCATAAAGACCTATTTACGTTGACTAACATATCCTAGTACTTGAAACCTCCATGTCTTGGTGCAAATGAATACGCATATTTGGTAGTGTCCATCTGCGGTTAAACACTCGTTCTATACTTCTCCTGCCGGTGGGTGCTGTGAACCACACTATGTATTAGTATACCAAATAGTATTCCACTCAGTAGACTCCCTATAATGGATTCGGATAATCATTTTACATCAACTTGGTATCTGTCAAAATCTCAAATGGTGGATGGAATTATAACCATCTGGTATGATATCACAAATTTTGATTTTCCGTGAAATCTTCTCGACATCAATGCGGTCCATCGAAACTATCATTTCTGTTAATTCACTCTCGGGTTGCATGTACCAGTCTTTGCATTTTATTGAGTGACTTGATGATTTTAATGTCGATATTGTATCTTCACACACATTTGGCATATTTGGCACCGTAGTTCCGGTAGGCTGTGGAGATGAGAACTGAAACCATATTTCTGAATATATCAACATTTTTACCCTGAATGGATAATGTGCTCAGGTGCATTTTTATCCAAGTTTGAGCGAGTGCAAATTGAACACGATCCATTTGAGTGTTTTCCCGAGCATATAACGCACACGTAAGCTGTGATTTCATCTGCAAATCGGTGTTCCTATTTTGCTTGGCTTAGAATGTAAGAAAAAACTAACCGCCAATATTTTGCATCCCGAAATTTTTCTGCAAAATTTCCGGCCCTTAGAATGATGTCGTGATAACTCTACTGAGTTGGATTAAGGATTCCTTCACATTCAGTAATCACAAATTATATATTTCTGTTCCGCCATCTCTTTAAGTAGTATGCAATACTCGCAAATTTAGAATTTTGCAAGTGAAACACAATCCAGCAGAGTTATGAGCAGAAAGCACCATGCTGGTCAACAGTAGAGGGATTCGAACCACTGGATAGTGTTTTTCTGGTGTCAAGGGTATAGTGTTCTGTTAGTTTAAACAATTTCCACAGTATCCATTTATTTTATTACACACACAAACTGCTTTACAGCAAAAGCGGTAAAGCCACAGTCAATGGTATACTGTAGATGGGAAGGTCTGAGGTGGAGCATTTAAGTGAGAAATAATTTCTTAA